ATAAGCGCTGTATGAGCCCCCAGTAAAATGATTTAAAAAAAAAAAGGTGTGCCATCTTCTCAGTAAATTTGGGAACATCTTTATTCTTTAGCAGTGTCCAAATTTATTGATTCAGTCTTTTTAAAACAGTTTTCTTGATACATGAGCCAGATCTTGCACAATTTAATAGCTCGAGCATCTTAAGCGCTGCAGTCGCCACAACCAGATTCAGGAAATTTTCTTCTTTCTTGCACTCACGGGATTAGCGTCCCCAACCTCCCCTGCCACACCCCCAAGAAACCATGAACCCAGGTACTCGCTATAGAGTTACACAGCCTGGATTTCATAGGTGGAAAACCATACCATGACTAAATAGCCAAGTGAAACAGATCTAAAACCTCAATCGAAAAGAAAATGGAAAATATTTAAAAGGTGGAACACATTAAAAATGAGTCAAAAGAGAGACCTGGTGTGAGATCCTGCCCGACTGCGTCTGCGTCCCCACTTTCCAGGGAGCGGCAGCTGCAGGGAGGCAAGGCCGCTCACTGCTCTGTGGTCAGGCGGGATTCACTGGAGGCTTAATCCTCATGGATTTCCCCCTTTGCTTGCTCGATCAATGAAAACAACTTTAAAATGGCTCAAGAGGGAGGCCAAATGATAAGATGCCACATTTCAGCCTCACTCTCCACCAGGAGTGACTTTACCATGCTCTATCTGGTACCAAGACTGCTCACGTCCCTGGACTAGGGTCAGAGGGCTTGCTCCGTGTGTGGACCCTGCAAATGGATTTGGGGGATGTTCTTCACGTTGGTACTCATTTGTACCCTGAATTGTGCCCATCCTCCCCTGCCACAACGTTTCACTGCTGACTCTGGCCCTAGAGCACACAGCAGAGGTGCCCCGGTGGGTTTCCAAGACTAACTCTGTGAGAGTAGACAGCCTCCTCTCTCCCCTGCGGAGTGGCTGGTGGTTTCAAACTGCTGACTTGGGGTTACCAGCCCAACGAGGAACCACTAAACCACCAGGGCTACAGTTACAGTACACTGTACGTCTGGGATGCCCTGTATTTTATTCTCCAGCTACTGAAAAAATTTTTTCAACATTCCCAGTTATTAAGAAAAACATTTTTACCGCCCCTTTTTGTTTGCTGGTGGCGGCCAGGTGATGGGGCTGGCTGGGGCTGAGGACAGAATTGTACACACAGAAGCAGAGAAAAACATCCGTACTGAAGCCCACATCCCTGTCACCAGCAGCACGTGGCCCCTCTTGTTTCATCCATGTGTATGTTTTTTATCCTCTGCTCTGGGGTTTTCTCAAAAGCAGATCCAAATGTCTTTTATTAAAGGAAATGCTCCCCTTGTAAAAATCTGGGGCAAAACAGTCAACCAAACCGTAACCAATTCAACACGCCCCATCTGTACAGCCCCGGGACATCACATTCCTCTGGGAACATCACCAACACCCTTTCCCGAGCATCTCACCACCAGGAACATGAACTCAATACCTCCTAAGCAAAGACCGCTGCCCCCGCTACCGCCCCCTCCACTACGAAAAACTCAGGGCCAGCGAGGCCCTTCCAACTCAAAGCGACCATACAAGACAGGGTGGAACTGGCCCCCTGGTTTCCGATCCGGTGTTCTTCACAGGAGCAGACAGCCTCATCTCGCCTCCCATGGAGCAGCTGGGTGTTTCGAACAGCTGACCTTGCGCTTAGCAGCCCAACGTGGAACCACTCCACCACAAATAGCCCTTAGTTTCTATGCTGCTTATATAAGTGCAGTCACACGGTAGATTTTGTTCCCAAAGGAATTTTTAAAAAAGAAATGGCCTACAATTCAGATCTCAGAGTCCTCCCCCTGGGCTGGCAATTCCACCGCCTCCCTGATTTCTCCATCCCCTTCCCGGGCGTTTCCCAAATGCAGGCAGCACTGCCCGCGCATAAGATGGCCCTGCTCTCTCCCTGGCTCAGGTCCTGCAATTCTACGAGCTGGGCACTTCTCCACAGTCCCCTGCGGCCGGAAAACTATCCCTCTCAGTGGCCGTGAACGGTGGCAGGCCCGGGCCCTTCAGTGGGACATTTGATCTGCCCATGGCCCTTTGCCATGGCTGTGGCCTCGTCCCTTATTTGGGTCCCATCTCCACTGCACACCAGGTCAGGCCTCCTGCCCCCCCTCCGAGTACACAGCAGCTCCACCCTGAGCACAATGGGGCTTGTCAGCGTCGAAGGAAGCCTGGATTCTAGAGCCGGTCAGTAGAGATCCTGGAGTCACAATGAGCTGGAATCAGTGCGGTGGTGTTGCGCAATAACAGGACAGTTGGCAGTTCAAACCCACGAGCTGCTTCGTGGCAGCCTGCTTCTGTAACTTATGGGGACAACCTTGGACACCCTTTGGGGTAATTCTGCCATGTCCCTCACTGTGAGTCAGGTTCGACTCCACAGGCCTGCTCGTTGATGAATTACCACCACAGGAGTGATGGGGGCATAGTGGGTTACTTGTTGGGCTGTTCACGGCAAGGTCAGCAGTCTCAACCACCAGCCAGCTGCTCTGGGGAGAAGCCAAAGCTGTCCACTCCTGCACAGCTCCAGCCTCAAAACCCCACAGGGGCAGTTCTACCCTGTCCTGTCGAGGCCTTAGGAGCTGGAATCCACTCGATGGCAGTGAGTTTGAGGCGCTCTGTAGGGGCAGGAATTAGGTCTGCCATGATCCCTGTTGTCTCCCCAGCAGCACCCAGCATAAGATGCCAGACTCTGTGGGTGCCCAATGACAATGCTCTGAATGAATGAATGAATGAATGGCAAGTTTATATGCCGTTCTTAGGGGCCATTGTTCTGACCCAACAGAGCCAAACAAAACACTGCCCGGTCCTGCCGCGTCCTCACATGGTGGCTGTGTCTGAGCCCGTGGTGGCAGCTACTGTGGAAATCCATCTCCTGGAGAGGTGCTTTTTTTGAATCTGGTTTTTGGGGGTTATCTTTTTGGCTGACTCTGCCTTCCCAAGCACAATGTCTTTTCTTCAGGGACTGCTCTCTCCCGACATGTCTTACAAGCTCCCAGGTGATGATGTAAGCGTCGTCCTGCGGACCCTGTGCACTACGGCAGCTGCTAGCGACAGGTCACTCCTGCACACCTAGGATGCACGCGTGTGTGCCAGGATGAACGTTACAGCCTCGAAAACCCACAGGGGCCGCTCCACGCGGTCAGAATCCATTCGATGGCAGTGCGTTTGGTGTGGGCTTTTAGAGCAGGCGGAGTGGGAGGGGCCCAGTGTCGTGGGAACAGGCTCTTAGACTCAGGACTGGGAGGTTGCCGAGAGCCTGGAGGGCTGCCATCCTCTGTGGTGACCAAGAGGGTTCCAGGGTGAGCCTCGAGCAGAGCCTGGCAGGGCTGATGACGCTGGAGGTGGCAGCTCCTGGAAAGCTGGAGTTGGTGGCATCAGAGTTGGAGGCCCCTGTCCCTGGGTTAGGGAGCCCTGGTGGCACAGTGGGCTACGCGCTGGGCTGCTAACTGCAAGGTCAGCAGTTCGAAACCACCAGCTGTTCCTTGGGAGAAAGAGGAGGCTTTCTACTCCTATAAAGGGTTACAGTCTCGGAAACTCCCAGGGTTGGGAGGGTTGCTGATGCGTGGGATTTGGCGGCAGTGAGTTTGGTTTTTCAGTTTGAGTACAAAGAATTTTAAACATCTCACTCAGAAGTTTATATTGAGCGCATGTTGATATGCTCGTTGCTCAGCACCAAAGAACTCACTGCCATCGAGCAATTGCTGATACATAGCGACCCGATAGAGCAGGGCAGAACTGCCCTTGTGAGTTTCTGAGACTGTAACACTTTATGGGAGTAGAAAGCCCCACCTTTTTCCCAAGGAGCAGCTGGTGGTTTCAAACTGCTGACCTTGCAGCTAGCAGCCCAAGGGTTCAATGAAATCTACTATTAAAAGTAATTTAACCAAAGTTACTATTTGTCTGTGGGAACTAGAGCATTTCACATCTCACTCATCGCTCACACGCAGGGCTCCCCTCTTCTGTTGGACAGGGCTGATGGGGACCATTCCGCACTCTTCACCTGCAGGCATTTGCACATGCTGTTCGGAGATCCCTCTCTACAATTAATTCCATACACCCTTCAGGTCGCGACGTAAGGGGCCTGGTGGCACCACGAGTTAAGCGCTGGGAGGCTAACTGAAAGGTCAGCAGCTCAAACCCATCAGCTGATCCCAGGGAGAAAGACGAGGCAGTCTGCAATCCTAAAGAGCTGCAGCCTCTGAAACCCTAAGGAGCAGTTAGTTTTGCTTTGTCCTATAGGCTCGGAATTTTTTGACTGATGGCAGTGGGTTTAGTGTGGGTTGGTTCCATTCCCCATTTAGGTATCTCTCCCTTGAGGGGTCCCTTCCTGAACCCCTAGACAGGGTCCGGGTAAGTGTGCCGGGTTTCCCGATCCCTCTGCCCACTCCTCCGTCCCACCCTGATCATCACCCACCCCTCTGCCGTCACTTGCTCATCCTAAGCCGGGGCGTCTGAATGGTCTGTGCCTCTGTGGACTGACAAGCACTTGAGGATGGGGACAAAGTCTGCTCCGGTCACCACTTTATCTTCAGAACCTGACACAGAGTCCACTGGTCAACGGAATGAATCGAAGCAAGACCTGGGCCGTGAACCCTTCATCACGCTTGGATTGGATTGCGAAACCAACTTTAGATTTCGGCTGCCCTAACCCCTACTGCTGGAATCACGTGGAGCCCTGGTGACCCAGTGAGTTACACAGGGATCTGCCAACCACAAGGTCATCAGTTTGAACCCACCAGCCACTCCAAGAGAGAAAGATGAGGCTGCCTGGTCCCGTAGAGCGACGGTTTCAGAAACCCACCGGAGCAGTTCAACTTGATCATCAGGGTCGCGATGCATCAGAATCAGCCTGATGGAAGTGGGGGCGAGGAGGGAGACGGACTGTAGACAGGCTCGATCAGCATTTTCCACAGAATAGACCAGCAACAGGACACGGAGATAGAATTCATCTCTGAACAGCTTCAGTTTTCAAGGGAGGTGTTTTCAATGGCCTCATAGTGCACGTACAAGTTGGACACTGAATAAAGAAGACCGGAGAGGAGTCAATACATTTGAATTACGGTGATGCTGGAGAAGAATCCACAGAGGCCTTGGACTGCCCTAAGGACAAACGTCTGTCTTGGAAGAAGTACTGCCAGAATGCTCCTTAGAATCGAGGTTGGAGAGACATCAGGAGAGACCAGTCCCTGGGGAAGGGCACCATGCTTGGGAAAGTAGTTCAGCAAAACCAAACACAGAGACGGAATGACACAGTGGCTGCAACCAAGTGAGGCTCACACACAACCATCACCTCGAGTGGGGCAGGACAGAGCAGTGATTCTCTCTGCTGTGCAGGGGTCTCTCTCTCAGTGGCGTGGAACCGGCTGAGAAGGACCTGCCAACAGTAAGAGTTGTTTCGCTGCCGGGTTCCCTAACTCATTGCAATGGGCACACAGAATCCACAGCCAGTACTCTCACAGTCATGGGGGGCTGTGACAAAGTCACAGTTTACAATTCAGCATCGAACAACTCAGGATACAGTTGTTTGGTCAAGACAGCTCCTTGGCCGTGTCCATAAGTAAGCCTCTCCATGGCCTCAGTCCCTCAGTAGGTACTACAGGCTCCCCTGTAGCACTTACCGTATAGACTCGAGTATAAGCTGACCTGAATATCAGCCGAGGCACTTACTTGTACCACAAAAAACTGCATTAAAAATGTACTGAACAACTCAGCTTAGGCACAAGTGTATATGGTACATTCACAAGGCATCATCAAGCTGCACAGCCTGTGGTGTGTTTGTTCTCTGTAACAACAACCCCCCCCCACCATGTAAACAAGTCCAATTACCTTGGTCACTTCAATTCCAGAAGGAAAGGCACAACCTGGCAAAAAACAAAAGCAACACATTTTGTTGTTGTTCTCTTTGGATCCTAAGAGGTCAGGTGCAAGAACTACAAGGACAAGAACCTCTACTGGTAACAGTCTCCATGCACACTCTCAATGTGGGCCGCCTTCCGCGGGGAGGGGAGCACGCGCCCTTCTTCCACCCCGTCTTCACACTAGGAGAGCACCGAGTCGTGCTCAGTTACCTTCGTTATTTTACTACACGCACTAAAAGGAGACTCAGAGACACAAAAGGCCAACAACAGAAGCACCCAGAAGGTCCAGCAGCTCCCACAAACACATCAAAACCCCCAGGCTTAACACAGGGTCTGGGAGGAGTCCAACAGCCCATCAAAATAGGAAAATGGAGACTCTGGCTACAAAAATAAAAACATACATGAGGAAGATCTATTCAAGCTTTCATGACCCAGGACTTGCCTGCTCCAATTCTGCAGCCTTCATGCAATCCTCAAGAGGGAGGTGGGGGGCAATCTTCACAAAGAGTTGACAGTAAGTCATCAAGGAAATTAAAACAAAAACACTATGTGAACCTGGAATAAGAACCCCAAGAAGGAAATCCTGGTTCTTCAAGAGAATAGGCCTTGGCAAGCTAAATTAAGTCCGCTGAGATCCTGGGCACAGGCCCTGCCTGCCTGGCGACCAGGTAATCAGAGGCCCCTAGAATTTGGGAAGAGGTACATGGCACTCTCGGCGTGCCACCTGGGCAGAATTTAAATAGGCAGCTATGCTTGCATTAGTTTTCAGAATCTTCACAACACCCCTGTTAAATTTAAAAGAAAAAAAAAGACTATAGATTACCTTGCCTGGCCTTACCTTAATGTATCCTAGGTAGGTCAAGATCAACTCGAAAAAAGTACTCACTGCCATTGCCATTGCCTCAAGGCTGACTCAAAGCCCACCCCCAGTGGGTTTCTGAGACCCTATCTGCTAAGGGAGTAGAAAGCTCAGTCTGTCTCCTGAGGAGCTGCTGGTGGTTTCAAACTGCTCACTCTGGATCGCAGCCCAACAGCATAACCACTACACCACCAGGGCTCCCCTAGGTCAAGCTACACGGCTGTATCTATCCATCCCTTTCCGGAAACACCAATATTGCAGTCACATACTTCAGAGCTGGGGACCTTTCCTCTCTAGGTTCTATTTGTTAGAGCTTAAATTCTGAGCACCCCAGCTTGCAAAAAGCCTATGGATGACAGTGGCAGCCCCAAAATCCATCTGCAAGGTCCCCAAATAGATGAAGTCTCCACTGACGGCTCTCTGATGGCTAATAAAGATGTACACCATCATGCCTTAAGATCGGCTCAGAGAGGGCACTGCCCCACCCCTCTCCTGACAGCCTTGGGAGGGGCAGTCCCTCAGGGGCTTGCCTGGGCTGGTCCTTGATGGGGGTCACCATACTAGGACAGTCCAGGGGTTCCCATAGTCTAAGGTGACCAGATTTTAACACTGATAAAGCAGGACACCATTGATAAAACTCGTAACCTGGCGAAATAGCCACATGGCAGTCGAAAACTGTATACCCTAGCTTGTCGTGCATTCTTTCCAAAAATCGGGAGTTTTCTACAACGCCGCGGGACGTGGAAAAAATTGTTAAAAATCGAGACTGTCCCGCCCAAAGTGGGACGGGGACGTCTGGTCACCTTACCATAGTCCTGGAGTCATGCCTATTAGTCTCACGCTGACAGCCTCGGTTGGAAGGCCTGGCCCAATCTTGGAAGCCCTTCTCCCTAACAATGTACGCATCCCAATCACGGCCCGGCCTGCTTCTGTGGTCCCAGCTACCCGTTGTGATGTCCTGATCTGTCACCAATCATGCTTTTGTGACAGTTTCCTCTGCCCCCCCCCCACGCCCTTTTTACAGCTTTGTTATCTCCAGGAACCCCAGGGTGCCATTGGAGCTGTCTTCACCTTGTGCCCATGCCCCCTCATCCAGATGGTGTGTCTCTGTCCTTGTGTTTGTTTCTCTTAAGGCATAACAAAGGTTCTCCTTAAGCCATGATTGAGATCGGGGTCTCTTTTGCACCTTAAAACACAAGCGGCAGAAGCCACTGAAGGCAGCCCACGGTTCCGGTTTGCTCACTGCTCTGTAATATGCTACTCCAAATCCAGGGCACTGAAAACAACAAATTACCATCACCTGTGATTCTGGGCACAACTGGGTGATTTTGGCCGAGGGACATTCATGCCATTGCGGGGTCGGCCATCAGCTGGGCCTGCAGTCGTCTGAAGGCCCAACTGGCTGGGCGTCAAGTTGGCTGGCTGACGTGGCTGGCAGCTGGGGCTGGCTTGCCCTTGTGCCCTTGGCTGGCGTGCCCATACATGGTCTCGCCATGTGACATGGGCATCTATCTCACCGCAGGGTGGCTGGGCTCCGAGAGGGCGCGTTGAGTCCAAGAGCGAGCTTCCCAAGAGGCCTATCAGAAGCTGCAAAGCTTCCTCTGATCCAGCCTCGGGCGGCCCAGAATACCACTTCCTCTGCCTGCTGTCATCCTGCAAGTCACCCAGGACAACACAGCCGGGTTCACCGGGAGGGGAGGGTAATCTCTTGAAGGCAGGCGTCTATTTACGGTGGCTTTTTTATGGTCCACTCTGAGTCATCTCAGAAGGACTACCCACACCTTTCTTTTCTTCCCTCTCCCCGCCCCCCCCTGACCAGCCCCACCCCCACCCCCCTCTCCAGGGCTGTTGGCTGGAAACTTCCTCGGCCCCAAGCTTCTATGGGTGGCCTGAGCTGCCCAGGCCTTCACTGACTCCTGACCGCTCTCGGACATTCTTCAGCTTTGAAAAGTTTTCTTTTTTTGGTATGTGAAGTCAATTTTATGGGCGCAAAACAATGCCTGCTCTACACAAAATAATAATTTATGAATTGTTAGGGTTCATGAGGGAGGGGGGAAAATGAGGAGCCGATATGAAGGACTCAAGTAGAAGGCAAATGCTTTGAGAATGATGATGGCAACAAATGTACATATGTGCTTGACACAATGTATGGATGGATGGATTGTGATAAGAATTGTACGAGCCCCCAATAAAATGATGGGGGGGGGGGAGAAAGAAATATTTCACAATAAAAAATTTAAAAAACAACGCCTGCTCTAAAGTCCACAAATCACCGTTCAGTGCAACCACTGTTGGGTCCGTTTTCAAACCAGCACGGGCGGGAGATGGTGGGGTGAGAGAGACAGACTGCTTCCTAGGGAGGCAGTAAAGGGTTCACTAATGGGCCCAAATGAGAATCCTGGCTCTCTAGTTTCCAAAACAAACCTTTCAGGGGCAGGAAAGAAACTTAGAAAGTGTATTTGTAATCCCTTTGATCTCAGCTTTGAAGCAGTTCTATGTTAGTACATTGCATGTGCTATGTTAGTCGTGTACAACGTGTAACATGTACACACACCCATATAAGGGGACTTCGACAAGTTGGTAGAAGAATATCCCATTCTCTTTTTCATTCCACTTTGCCACAAACTTTTTGAAGCCCCCTTGTATACATACACTGGGGTTAGAGTGGTTACGTGTTGGGCTGCTGAACTACAAGGTTCCCAGTTTGAATCCACCAGCCACTTCATGGGAGAAAGACGAGACTTTCTACTCCTGTAGAGAGTCTCAGGCTCAGGGCAGTTTTACCCTGTCCCACAGGGTCCTAGGAGTCAGACCTGACGCCACGGCGGTGAGGCTGGGGTTGTGGGTCAACACTGGTGCACGCTCATGATGGACTCACTAAGGAGGGGTGTGTGATTTAAAGGGTTTGGGACTCTTTGGGCTAGGCAGCGGTTCTCAACCTGTGGATCATGACCCCTTTGGGAGTGGAACGACCCTTTCACAGGGGTCGCCTAAGACCATCCGAAAACACACATTTTCGGTGGTCTTAGGAACCGAGACACCGCTCCTCTATCCATCTCCAAGTGGGTCCTCCCACATGCAGATACGCCCACCTACGAGTACCCGGCGTGAAGACTGTTACCCATGCTGCACCACGCTTCAAGACAAAATTTAATTTATTTGTCATTAGAAATAAATATGTCACAACATATAACGACATATTGTTTTGTGATTAATCACTATGCTTTCATTAGGTTCAATTTATAGCAATGAAAATACATCCTCCATATCAGATATTTACATGATGATTCATAACAGTAG